TCACAGAAGGTTATTAGTTGTGTGTGGGAACTGAACCCAGGACCTCTGAAAAAGCAACCAGTGCTCTTAACAGCTGAGCCATCATCTCTCCACTCCCTTCTTTCTTCTTTTAAAAGGAGAGCAACCATAGCTAATTGGATCATTGGGAAATATTTTTGTTTATTCTAAAATATTTTCCTACATGGTTTTTACAGCAGAAGGCTCTAGATCACTAGTCTTTTGAACTTCTCAAGTTGCCTACTTATTTGTTTGTTTGTTTATTCTTCCACAGAAAGAGTAGATGAGCGAATCATAGCTTCGCTATCCAGAGCCAGGAAGTGGCACTGGCAAGCTCACAAAATCAAATCCCAGGGCTGCTTCTGCTGTGCTGGTGTCTCATCATCCACCCCTCAACTGTTTTTCAACTGTTTCAGTCATAAGTTAATTCTCAGACTCATACCAGAGTATATTTTAACTCAAAACACTCTTGTGACAGCATCTTTCTAAAGCTATGAAATGTGAATTCAGAGCCACCAAAAAGATAAGAGTCCTGGCTCTTAAAGAGACTAGCCAGCCAGCTGTTTGTTCTCATGAATTAGGAAAGAGTTAGCTGGGCCTTCCATAAGCTTTGTGAAGGCCTGGTCTTTGCCTGCTTAGAGAGTCGCCCTGTGTTAAAGTGCCTTTGTCACTCCTACTCTGCCCATGTGAAGGCAGAAAAATCTGTGGCTCATGTCATTTTCTGAAGCTTTTCTTCATCATCTCCTAGACCAAAAAAGAGAACTTCTTCTTCTGAACTCTAATGCGACTTACTGTTTGGGGATCGTAGGGAAGGAGAGCTAGACTTTGAAACACTTCATAGTGTGAAATCATGGGTGTAAAGGGCACCGCACTGTCACTCCTGACTTTTGGCACAGCAACTGTCCAGTGTCTATTTAGGCTTCAAAACAAGTTTTCCATCTCTTGAAAGAAACTAAAATAGATTTTTTTTCTTCACTAAAGGCTTATATACATAGAGAACAAAGACTTGCTGGAAATAGTCCTTAAACACAGCCTAGTGTCACCCTAGCTCAGAGGAGAGAGAGAACCTGAATCCATAGAGAAGAGTATGGGATGAGGGACAGACAGGCCTCCTAAGCACCTGCAGTTATATACAAGAGCTTTCAGGAAAGCAAGACTGTGGAGGGATAGCCTTAGGCCCCCTCATTTATGGGGATGACTGGAAACCATCCTGCCTCCTAGATACTGTTGCCAGGCACTCAGGGGAACTCATCATGCACCAGGACCTGCTAACCCTCAGAATGCAAATCTACATGGCATATGTTCCTAATTTCTAACAGATGCACTGTAATGTGCTTGCCTCATCCTGATTATAACTTAAAGTATGCAGTCTTCAACTGATCTAGGCCACAATCTGGTTACCAACAGAGGTCTTTCTTAAAACCAGGAAGTATTTGCTAGAACTTCAAAAAAGATTGCCCTAAAGACTTATCAGTCATTTCTCCTATACCACAGGTCCACATGAGATGGTATATATTGCAGTTGTAGGTAACTTTGGTTTGGTTTAAATATTGTTATAGACTTGGAAAAATCGAAGTTTCAATTCCTGGGGAAGGGTAGATGGACAAAAGCTAAAGTGAATATATAAGTATCTAACAGGGTAGTTTATCCAGGCTGATTATCTTTTTCTTGTCTTCTTGGGATTAAAAGAAAGGAAAGAAAAGAGGGAGGGAGGGAGGGAAGAAGGAAGGAAGGAAGGAAACAAGGAAGGGAAGCAGCTGTTTTTCACTCAATGGTCACTCATTACATCTTTACAGGAGTGAACTGCCACAGATACGTTTTTAACTCAGGAGACCTTAGCAAATTATAATGGCTGATTTTCCTGTGAATGGGAAGGATATATTTAGAGGCTTCTCTGGGAGACGGACTGGCCCCAGGGATTAGTAATATTCTGTGGAGCTTTTCACCTCCAGGTCAGTAGGTCAAATCCAAATCAGGCCTAGGGTGGCTGAGAAGCAGTGTGTGAGTGACAGTTGTTGGGTGACAAAGGTGAAAAGAGCTAGCTGGTTCTGCTGCATTTCAAGTGAAATGAACAGGTGCTGTCTGCTCTGGTCTTGGCAGAGGAAAGAGAATGCTCAGAAACAGGCCGAGCTTGACCTCCTGGCTACAACTTTCATCTTTCACCTGGCAAAGTGAGGAGCTTGCCTTTACACCATAGTTGTGACAGGGAAGAGATAAGAGAGCATTTAAACTTCTTATATCCCTTAAGAGGATGGTGTGTCACCCAAATGTTAAGACTCCTGTGTATCATCTGAGGAAAGAGCTGCTTCTGCCTGAGGAGCAAAAAAGCACCTTCCACCTCACTCACTCCACTCTGTCCTATCACTGAGTACCACAAAGAAGTGATGAAGTAAATGAATCAATGGGAAGACTGCAGTGATTCAAATAAGTGGTGGGCTTTCTTGATTTCAATGCATTTCACAACCCAAACATTGGAGCATCTGGAAGGTGGGGCATACAGTACAGACAGAGAGGTCCCATTTGTCATCTGCTTCATACAAAGCTTAGGATGGAAAGCCCCATTAGTTTCACCCTTTCATTGCACATTTGAAGAACTTTAGATCATTGTGTCAGACTTCGTCAGCAGCCCGAGGTAGGTCTAGCTGATGTAAACAGAGCATCAGTGCACTGAGAGGATAGCTGGTGTCCTGAGGAAGCAAGTGAAGCCAGTAGCTCAAGAGACAGAATTCCAAAGAGGCCTTTTTACTTCTTTAGCACTTGGGCCACAGAGTAAGCCTTCCCAAGCATAAAACTGGCATCATCTTGCTTTATCTCACCCAAAGTTCAGCTTTTATGAAACACCTAGTCATGGTCACACCAATCTGGGTATGCTCTTTTCCTCCTTCCCTTATTACTTTGTATAGCAGTTCCTACTCTCTGACTACTCACCTATTATTTCCTCCCAGCCTCTATCCCCTTAGAATGTAAACTTGAAGACCTGGACTCAAGGCATTGTTCTATAATGCCCCACAGTCCCATTTCTGAGAGATTACATATCCACCGGAACTTACCTGTGCCCCTAGGAATGGTAATTTTTAGATTCCTGGTCAGGGTAAGTCTGGAAATGGCATAGAGGGAGCTTTCCAGAGCTTTTTCTCTTTGGTTTGAACTCCAGGTCCTCCCTGAGATGTCTCTACGCAGATCCTAAATCAGGAGCTTTCTGGACATCTATAGAAGATGGGTCTATAGGCAGAAAGGTCCACTAGAGGCCAGAATAACTGTCCTAAGGGATGCCACATTTTCAATCAGAGTTTTGATGACAAGTTAAAGGGACCTGCCCACTAGCCCACTAGAATGGCTAAGCACATTGCCCCTCTGTAAACAGCCTCTCTCTCTCTCTCTCTCTCTTCCCCTCCCCTTTTCTCTTACTCCTCCTTTCACCTGCAGCTCCCCCCTCTCAATCCATTTGCTAGGAAAATAAATCTCAAGGAGGCAGGGTGAGTGGATCTAGAAGAACCCTTCTGAATAAATGTCTATATTAATGAATTATTAACTCAGCCACCCATGACCTTAAACCTAGAAACGTGAGCACCCAGGGCAGAAAGAAGAGCTGTTGAATTCTTTATTGGAGTCCTGTCAAAGGTGACGGCCATTTGTTCCCCTCCCCCATCAGGAAAAAATAATTAATATGGAAGGCAAACTTTTTAATTGTATGTCAAACGAAATCTGATAGAGGATCTCCTGTACAGGTTGCGTTGCTGCTTTCCTGCCTCCCTTCTCTCTTCCTGCTCTGCCTGGGCTCTCTTCCTCCCCTCTCTGCTAAGGGTAAAATGGGCTTCCTAGGGAGAATTTTCGGGGAAAATGCTCCAGAAAATGATAAATTCGGGTAGTTAATTTATCGATCCTGACTCCTCTTCCCACTTGTTTTATTTCAGAGGTCATTAATCAATGAAGAAAAACACCACCGTGTCCCCCTTTTGCATTTAATACACTCTCGCTTCTTATTTATTCCTCTGGAACAAATTCCCAGCAAATATTCACCCATCGATTTGGGAGCGATGGATTTTTATAAAGGTTTGATCGCTTCCTAAGTGGTCGGAGTGATTTGTTAGCCCCTCTTCTATGCAGTGAAGAGAAAGGGCACAGATCTGAGGGACGCAGCCCTGCGGTCAGTGGGCGCACTTTCTAAAAACCCGAAGACACGCCAGAACGACTGTGACCAAGAGCGCCAGGTCAACCGGGTGAACGGGGAGCAACTTCCAGAATGCTTCCTTCCTGCTAACTGTGCTGTGCCCCAGGTGTGAGGACCCCGCAGACCTCCACCTGTGCCTGGGACCTTCTGTAGAGGCACTAAAGATGCCCAGGCCATAGACATTTCCCTGGAGACCTTCTCCTCTGCCCCCGGGCCCTCGGAGTGGTACTTCCTAATTGTCCCTGCCTCCTTCCTCCATACAAGGTTCCTTTGTCCTCTGGTACCTAGGGTCCTGTCACCTCGATACCTCATTCATGTCCAGCACTTCTGGGATGTGTGGCAAGGGTGAGAGTGGGAGAGCCTTGAATCTGACAGGTCCGGCATTTCATTTATACTCACAATGGGAGAGAGGATCTTTGCCTTCTCAGCTTCTGATCTCTGGAGCATCCCTACCACCTCCCAACTCAGCTCGATGCAGTGGTAAAGGTTTGACTAGTGTAGATAGGAGAATGCACTTGGCAGCCCACTGACCGGGGTCTGAATGCGTCTCCATTTCTCATTAATGGCATGACCTTAGGCAACCTACCTACCCTTTTTTCGGTCCTGCGGTTCCCAAATAATGTCTTCCCTGTATGGCTGGGAGGCATACTAAACGTATGCGCTTCCCCTGTCCTAAGCTCTCATTAACCTGTCAGTTTATTTTAGGATAAGCGCGCGCGCGCGCGCGCACACACACACACACACACACACACACACACACACACACACCCGGTGTGTGAGTGGCACGAGGCCTCCCAAGCAGTTGTGCAACCAGCGCCCCAGTTCCCGAGATTTCCCAGGGAAGCGGGGGGTGGTGGCGGGGGGAGATGGTTGTGATTCTGTGAGGCCTTCATTCCTGGGGACCCTTCGCTAGGAATAAGCGGGGTTGGGAGTAGACGTGCGTCTGGGCTGCAGAGCGGTTTCCGGACTTCCCTGGCCAGAGCTCCCCGCTTCACACTGAGAAACGTCCAGCCAGGTCTTAGCAAAGAAGTAGGGGAATGTGAGAAAGAGAGTTTGCTCTGGCTCCCGCGGCCCGGCAGCCACCACAGTTCTGGAAGCAGATTAATTGAAAGGGGCCTGGAACTTCATCCTCTCCTCCCGGGAATGGTGCAAAGTCTGCTAGGACTGCCTGGTTAGCCTCGGGGTCCACAGAGCTGTGGGTTTCCTCTCCTGGTGCGCGCCTCAGACTTGGGTGCTATCAATCTATCCAGGAATGACGGATGGCCTTGTCATAACGACGCCAGTCAAAACATTTTCGGTCCAACTCTGTTACAACCAGTAGGGAGGCATCCTGTGTGAGACCCGGACCAAGTCTAAACAGCGCGTTTCCCAGGCTCAGACAAAATGAGTGGTGGGAAGAGAAAAAGAAAGCAGAAATTAGGGAAGATTGGAGATTATTTGTTCGAGATGGTGACTGCTTAATAAACTGGGCTGTTTGCGGAAAGAGAAATGCCACCCCCCCCCCTTTTAGGTGTGGACAAAACTCCGGCGAGGGGAAAGCGCCGGAATTAGCCAATCTCACAGAGCTTGTCGCTGCCCTCTGCCACGAGTACCAGGAATATCAGAAAGCTAAGAGCGTGGCGCCGGTGGCAAATGGGTGGACGCTGGATTTCTTATGGTAGAGGGGCTGCGGCCCAAAGCTCTGGAGATGGCATGGTGAAGCTGGGTCTGCAACTTGCACCCCGCACCGCTAACGCTAGATTTTCGGTAAAGAAACCTGTATTTGAGCTCCTGGGGCAACCCAAACAGCTGAAGGTAAACAGACTCTCCTGAATCCAGGGGCAGCGGAGGCACAGACGAAACCCTAGATGCTTGCAAGGCTCGAGGTGCCAAGGAGTGGGAAAGAACCCTTCAGGAAGGCTGGGTTGTGCAAACTCCAACGCAGCTGCCTGTCAACTCCGGGCCAAGCTGGAGTCCTGCCAGGACCAGCTCGCTCTTTAGGGACCCTCACTCCCAAACCCATGGCTCCGCCACGCCTGTCCCGAACGCAGCAGACTGGGGGTTTGACACCAGCTCACAGCGCGCCGCGCCTCGAGCTCAACTTTTCTCCCAGGAGGATTTATGTTCGAGGTTGCTTGGCAGGCAAGACAACTCTGGCACCCAACAGCATTCCAGGAAAATCCGAACCCGGCTAAAGCGCAAACTAGCTCCCTGGACCAGGTCTGCTCGACGCCCGCGGTACGCAGCATCCTTCGCCCACACTCCAGCAGACTCGGAGATGCGTACTGGTTTTTGTGTCTTCCAGCGTTTTCGGGTTCCGGACGCTGCGCCGGCATCTAGAAAAGATACGTTTAGGACAGACGGAGGCAGCAAGCGAACTGGAGACGTCACGCCAGGAAAAAAAAAAAAAACTGTGGGGGGTGGGGGGGGGGCGGCAGAGGAGGTGTTTGCGGGAGAGGCGGGGGCGCAGCGGCGCGCTGCGGGTCCAGTTCAGTTAGAACTTCCTTCTTCCCGCTCCCTCCGCTGTGTTCTCCTCGCCGTGTGCTCTCTCTCTCTCTCTCTCTCTCACACACACACACACACACATGCACGCACGCACACACGCACACACTTGTATTCCGTGCTGTCGTAAAACCCACGTGTCCAGTCTGGACGCTGCCAGAGTGGAGCGGCGGCGCCGAGGCGGCCGAGCGCAGCAGCCCGAGGCGGCTCGGTCCCGCGCTCCGCTCCTCCTGCGCTCCCGCGCTCTCAGCCCAGCGGCTCTTGCGCCCTCCGCGGGCCTCCGCGACCGTCGCCAGCATCCTGGGAAAGGCTCGGGGCCGCGGGATCCCTAAGGCTGTCTTCCTCCCCGGGGACATGTAGCTCACCCGGGACTCCCACTCTGTGATCGCACATCGAAACCCCGCGCGCACGCACGCCCCCAGCTCCCCGGCTGCTCGGACTTTGCAGGTACAGTGTGGCTCAACCCGGGTCGTGAGTGGGGGAGGCCCCGAAGCACCGGGAGGTTTGCGGTCTCGGGCTGGGGGCGGGGGGCGAGACTGTCCCGCCTCCCGGAGCTGGAGGCCAGCACGGCCGCAGAGCTGCGCCACTTCGCCTCCGGTCGGCTCCAGGGTGCCGGCGGAGGGCGGGGGCCGCGTCCTGCAGCTGAGTGGTGCGGGAAGCGCCCAGTCCGGGGTCCCAGCCTAGCAGGGTGGGACTGGGATCGCAGGCTGGGAGACAGCGCCGGGTACTCGCAGCCACCTCTGCGCCGCTCTGCGGCTTCAGAGTAAACTTTGCGCCCGGGCAGAGTTGGGAAGAGGGGGCCGCGGAAGCGGGAGGCTGCCAGCCGAGCCGAGGGCGCTGTGGCCCTCCATCCAGGTCCCCGCCGCCCTCCTCTGCGCCCCTGGTCCAGGCTACCGCTCACGCTGCGCTCCTCCCTGCCCTCCTCTGCCCCCAGCTCCAGGCGTCGGATATGCTGAAGCCGGGAGAGCCCGGCGGCTCGGCCTTTCTTAAAGTGGACCCAGCCTACCTGCAGCACTGGCAGCAGCTCTTCCCGCACGGAGGCGGCGGCCCGCTCAAGAGCAGCGGCGCGGCGGTTCCCCTGGGCGCGCCCCAGCCCCTGCAGCCACCGCCGCCGCCTCCCGAGCGCCCCGAGCCGCCTGCGGACGGCCTCCGGCCGCGGCCAGCTTCGCTCTCCTCCGCCTCGTCCACCCCGGCTTCCTCCTCCACCTCCGCCTCTTCTGCCTCCTCCTGCGCCGCCGCCGCCGCCGCTCTGGCGGGGTTCTCGGCCCTGCCCGTGGCGCAGATGCCGGTGTTCGCACCTTTAGCCACTGCAGCGGTGGTCGCGGAGCCACTGCCCGCAAAAGACCTATGCCTCGGCGTCCCCGGTCCCGGGCCGGCCAAGTGCGGCGGCGGCGGCGATGGCCGGGGCGTCCCGCGCTTCCGCTGCAGCGCGGAGGAGCTGGACTATTACCTGTACGGCCAGCAGCGCATGGAGATCATCCCGCTCAACCAGCACACCAGCGACCCCAACAACCGTACGTAGCCGCAGCCCTAGCTTTCTCTCTCCCCTGACGACCAACAACACAGGTCCCGGAGGCGGGTTTGGATGAGAGAGACACGGGTTGGGGTTCTGGTCCTAGCCACTGTCCCGCGCCACCCAGATATCTGAGGCAAAACTTTTATGGTGTTCGGGTGGCCTGGTGGCGCCTGGGACTGTGTCTCTCCGCTCCCTCCATCCCCGCCTCGCCCGCCTCAAGGGTTTGCAGCCAGAGGTGCTCCAGGACCCGGCCTGCTGCCTGCCGCCCTGGGTTCAGGGCCAAGCGAGAGCAGGCAGCTGGCGGAGGGCAATGCCCCAGTGGGCCCATCCTGGTCCTAAACGGATGGGCGGCTCCCCGCGTTTCCAAGGAGCGTGGACCCTAGGGTTTGTTTGTAATTCTTTATAGCCCACCTTTCGAGTTAACTGTGGCAGCTCATTTTCGGGCGGCGTGATTGTTGAGGGCTCCTGAGCTGCTGGCTAGAGGGGCAGGAGTAGGCGTTTTGGCGGTGACAGTGGGTCTGTTTCTTAATGTAGGCAGGGGTTACTGGTAGGGCTGCTGTTTATTTAGAAAAGGAGGAAAAGAAAAATGTCCGCTTCTTAATGAGAACCTTTCCAACATCAGGGCAGTGTTGTGCCTTGTGGCTCCCTCATTCCCCAAGAACCCTAGATCCTGCAAACGCTTGCAACCCGTGTTGCTTCCTTTATTCACAAGGGCGACAATGACTTAGTAAAAGAAGTTTACTTTTGTGAATGACTAGCTAAATATCAAGACTTTCAGTTTGGTTTCTATATTCAATTTCAAAAGCTTGTCGTGAGTACAGTTATATTCTGATGTTTGGAAACAAAACTCAAAGAAAAAGCAAGAATGTGTATTGCTTTGCATCTGCTAGTTTGTGGTAACTTCAGGTTATGATATTAAGCTTTACACCTAAGGTTCTGGGATAGGTGTTAAATATACTCCCAGAAATCTCTGGGCTGATCATTAAAGCAATGGAAACATGTATCACTGAAAGTAATACATGTTTTGGAAGTTTTATATGCATTCATCAACTTTCTTCAATTCATTCTTCATCTTGCTTCCGTTTGACAAAAGTAGATCATAAATATTTACTTTTATTTTATTTTAATAAGCTACTTTCTATAAAATGTTTATCACACCATAAACTTGAATTGTTGCCAAAACGAAATAATGTAATTAGAATGATAATTGCAGAAGGTTATTACTTTGATGAAAAAACACTGGGCATTAACTTCATCACTGAGGTGTATTAATCTCATAATGATTGGAGAGAATTATTGTGATGGAGATAGTAATCACTAACTTAAAAAGCAGTCATATTTACTTTTTTCCTTTCTAGCATCTGAGGGGAAAATGGGGTTAAAATTGGAACTTCGATTCCAATTTCCTGTGCAGTTAAGAAATCTCTTATATTCCAGGGTTTTGAATCATTTTATAAAATTCCATTGGCTTAATGAAGTTAAAAAATACCTATTCCCTCATGAATCTCTTGTCCATGTTGTCTTAAAATCAATGCTTTTAAAGATGCGAAATAGAAAACAAAAAATGTGTTGGAAAAGGCAGTTCTTACTGCTAAGTGAAATAGAATCGCTGCAGATTGGAAGTGCCTATCAAACTTGCAGTTTCTTTTCTGAATTAAGTCAGTCGTGGATAAGACACTGGCAACATAGTCCACACCTCTGTTGAGCTACATGTGTTCAATGCAGCTTTGGAATTCGGTATATTGTCACTGGAGGAAACGTACGCTAATTAGAGAAAGAATTAGGACAGATTACTAATTAACATTTGGATGTGGAACCAATTTATTGCCTAGATATCTCTTTTTTTTTTCCTGGTTGGAAAAGGTAAATTATGATCTTATTTATTATTATTTTGTTTATCTTCTGGTATCTTCTTTTGAGTACAGTGGACTGCTTCGATATTCAAAGTGCAGGAAACAAGACAAAAGGGAAAGTAAGTTAGATTGTCTTATAAGAGTTGCACCTCACATTGCTCACTGATTAAAGGGATAGTTGGAAAGAAAATAGAAAGCTAACATGTAGCTCTGGATAATAGGAAAACAGGCCTCCCATTCTTCCAGGAACTTCTCTGGGCAAGTGAGCTTTGGCACCCCTTTGAAACCATGCGATGTGTTTTGAAGAGAAGCAGTAGCAGTTTGAGCTAACTAGGAGCTTCAAGTGAATCCAAAACGCAAAGATTTGAAAGTTTCCCTTGGGAAGTTGGTATGTTGGTCCCTTGAAAGACAGAACAAAAGCTTCCCCTTATTCCCTGCTATAAGCGGGTGGGTGGATGGGGGAGAGGCTGAAGGGAGGCACCTATTAATTTATCATGTGTAGATTTCCTAGCTTTCATTTTAGTTGTTTGCCATTTTCCCTCTAAAAGAATTCTGCAAAGTGATCATTCAGCATTGCTTCAGTTTGTCAGTTCGTATTTAGAGTGTCTAGTCATTTCTCTTTTTCTTACTAGCCAAAGAAGGGTCTCCTTACTTCTCTCTTCCCTTTAGAGCAGTAGCTTTTTGCCTCTGATTAGTAATGCATAACACCATTGCTTAGCCACAGTCTACCTTGAGATTCTGTTATGGCAGATGCCACCGCGAATGAATACTTAGTTCTTTTCTGCCAGATTTTCAAACACACTAGATGCAAATTAGCCCAAGTGATTTCCTCTAGTAGAGTCCCGTTACCAAACTGCAAACAAGCGGTTGAAATACACTTTCCACTGAAGCTCTCAAGGCTTGGCTGCTGTTTTCTTCCCTTAAAAGTCGAATGCTGTGTCCTGTAATACACACAGGGTGGGACTTTTTTTTTTTGCCCTTGTTGGCTGCTGGATTACCAGAAGCCATTGATCCTCAGGAAGCTTGATTGTTTTCTGAGATCCTGTCACTGGTCTTAGAGGATAGCAAGACATGGTCAGTGGGTGAGCCTGGAGTATGTGTAAAGGCTCACAATTGTCTCTGCAGAGTTAGTTTTTCATACCTTTCTGTGATGAAGCTCCTCCTTCATACATGAGAGGGAGAAGGGAAATGAACCTGTTCTGGTGTCTAGGCATAAGAGTTGGATCACACTATACTTTCTCCAACAGGAGAGACTGGGGGAGGAAGGGAATTCTCTGACCTCTTCTGATCTAAGGAAGCCGTCCAGTGCAGGAACAAGCAGGTGTATACATGGGTGTGGCATTGTTGGCAGTGCCACACTTGCCAAGGGTTTGTGGGGAAAGGCTGGGAATAGTAAAGGAAATTTGGAGCCAACGCTGAAGCTGTACTATAGGATGTGGTGAAGTGGGAAGGGCCAGTGTGTTCTGACTTTACCCTATTCTCTTCCCACTGCATTCTCTTGGAAGCCTTTTTAAGAACCCACAAACCAGCCTTTGCTGTCTCGGAGACACACCCTCTTTGCCCCTCGCGGTCCATCATCCCCACTGTCAATGACCAGCAAGGGATATATTTTAGATTTCAGACCTGGTCCCAGGTGGGAGGGAGTTTCAGTGTCTGTGTGTGGCCTTTTATATTGTTCTATTTTTCTTTTTCTCTTATTCTCTCGTTTTGTGTGCAGGCCCAGCCCCACCTCGTAACACACATGATTTAGCTATTTTACATCATTTGTTATCTAGCTCCCTGAAACTGAACATAGAGCCATATATTAGATTGAGGTTAGAAGAGGTGGTGACTGTTTATTTAAGGTGATAAAATGGTCCATCAGCAGTAATCTCCATCGATATGTGCCACCAGGAGATGAAGGATGAGGGGACAAGCCACAATTAATTGCCCTATAGTTTTGTAGGAGAGAGTGGAGCCAGCCCAGACCCGCTTCGATCTCCTCTCGCTTCTCCTATTCATCATCTCCGCCTTGTATATGGTGGCCTCGCAGGGGCAGGGGCCGGCAAGGTTTATCTCCTTGCAATATTCTCTCACCCTCACACCCTGGCGCTCCCATTTAATTTATTAATACAGTCATCAGGAGACAAATAAAATCCACATTTTCTCCCTCTCTCGGTCTTTTCCTCACCCTTTGTCTCTTTCACTGGTCCCAGAGCCCCTCCGGCAGGCTGGGCAGCCGAAGCTCTGCACTTCTACACGTTGCTAGTAGCTGTGCTCTTCCCTCAGTGTCCCCAAGATCATCCCCACTAGCTAGGCAGCCCTGCGGGGCGTGTGACCACAATAGGCTCTTCCTCCTGGTGGCCGCCTCGCCTTCGCATCGCCCAGACCTCCTTGGGGTGGGTGGGGCTGGAAGGAAGATCCCTACTCAGGAGAGAAGGACCGGTGCGTGGCCAGGGAGGGCAAGGGCAGACTCACCCTGGGAGCCCATCGAGGATGAATGCTGGGTGAGGCCTTCAAAAAGTCATCCTTTGGGGAGAAGGCTGCCTGACAGCTGCACATCACTCCCGGAGGCTGGCAAGGATGGAGCCCTGGGGTGTGACCCGGTGAGAAAGGCTCCCTGAGGGCCTGCTCTGGCGGCCCTTGCCCTTAGTCCCCTGTGCCCTCCCCCAGCCTCTTCAGATTAGCACAGCTTTGCCAGTAGGCGGCACTCCCGGGACCGCGCCTCCGGGGCATCGATCAATGGGTCCCGGCCTCTCAGGGCTCGGCCTGCAGGAAAGAAGGCTGCGACCTTGTCTGCAGGGAGGAGGATTTACGGCCGAGAGCCGGTACCGCAGCCGACCGCTCAGCAGGCTCTCCAGTTACTCTTTGGTTTCCGTAACCAAAGGCTGTGGGGGCATGGCGTGGCCCGCACTCTCCAGCCAAGCTCTGGGGTCAGAGCCCTGCCAACTCCCACACCCGCCTTTCGGGTTTCCTTGCAGATACCAAGAATCCTAAAGTGCTTTCACCTTTCCTAGAATGAGAAGTGAAATTCTAGAAGAGACCCATGGCCTACTTTGCCCCCTCACACAGAGACAGGATTAGTTTAAAGTGGTAAAAATAGCATATGCACTTACAAAAAAAAATTTTTTTTACACAGTTAGATGGATGTGCAGACCTGAAATGCAGAGTGAAAGTCTACTTTCCACCTCACTTGGCCTGGCCTTCTGAGGTCAGTGGTTGACCAAGCCTGCAACCCACAGATAACCCTCTTCCCTCACCCATGAACCCAGACAGATGTGCTCAAAAAGAGACCTGGATCGCTAAGATTCCCTATGCTTTAAGTGGCATTTTTGATGCATCTTTCGAATAATAAATGTAAATTTGTAAAAAAAAATCCCGATTTTTATAGGCCTGGAATGCCGTGTGGGTAGTTGTAGTTTGGAGATGTAGCCTGCTTGTCCTTCAAACCTTTTCATGCTGGTGTTTGTTGCCCACTGGCTAGAAAAACTTCTAGAATGCTTGCCAACTTGTGACATATTTGTCAATCCTGCAAAAAAGTTACTTGTTTAAAACATCCTCTGGCTCCTCTGGGACACTGAAACATGTTAGAAATAAATATTTTCAGTTCAGGAGATTTTTGTGTATTAAAAATTGTTAAAGTCTATGCCTAACATTTTTATGGCAACCAGTCAGCTTTTCTGAGAGAGTATTTTTATATTTTTATTAAGACTTATTATGTGGACTAACTAAGTGGATTGACTTGGCTAATTTTCATGGAACTTAAGATACAAATAGTCTTTTAGATATTGGAGAGCCTCAGTTTTTCAGTACTTTGCAAAATACTATTGTTTTTTCAGCATGTTGTAGAGAAAAATGAGACTTAAGTTGAAGAGGACTTTAGAGGACTTCTTGGAGAAATGAGTTATCTGTCACTCGTTACAAATATTACTGAAGTGTGCCTCTTCTGTGTGGGTAGTGACTGCTGTCTATTGCTTCTTATCTGGTTATCCACAGGGACCATGTGATGGTAGAGACCTGAGGAGCTGATAGAATCTTTGGCATTGGTTGTTAGGCTGTGAATAGTAAATGTTTTTGCTTCTCGCTCTTTGCTTAATTGAGTAACCCAGAAAAGAAAAATCAGTTAAGCAATTCCTTGGGGTGATTTATATTCATTTTCATGGGCACATTGCCTTTTCTTATTGTCATTTGTTTTTAAGCTACTTTTGCTGAAGTGCTGAGTGGCCATCTCTGAAGTCAGACAGTGACATTAAATTTTGGACAGCATCTATTTATTTTCCTTTTCATTCTTGTACTTTAGCCTCCTCAAACCTGAAGGTAGGTGTGTGTGTGTGTGTGTGTGTGTGTGTGTGTGTGAGAGAGAGAGAGAGAGAGAGAGAGAGAAGAGAGATCTATAGCTCAATCATGCCAACATACATTTTGTTGCCCCAAAATGGTTACATCAGTGAACTATTTCAATTCTATTGATTGAGTTGTGAGTTGATATATAAAATTCTCCCAGCATTCATTAGTCTTTCTAAATCTGGGGTTTGAAGGCTTCGGTGTCAGGCAGACTCAAATGTGAATCTGTTCTCTGTTGCTTTCTAGTTTCTGGGCCTTTGGTCAAGTTTCAAACCTCGTGAGGCCTCTTTTGCCTCACCTGTAAAGTGGGAATCATGATAATTAGATAATATGGGAGCAGTTTGGTTCAAGACAAAAGACACACAGAATGCTCTAAGTAATAATATTTATTGTCTATTTCCACAATGTCTTGATTTTTTCACAATCAAAAGCTTGAAAAGGTGGATGAGTGAAATTTGTGTTTTTGAGGAATTCCCATGGGAACAAGTGTCAGCATACTCCCATCTAGGCCCTGAGGTCAGCAGTGAGCCTTGCACAGTCCTCCTTTAGCTTGTGTTGCTAGCAGAGGAGGGCTTTTTGGTGTTAATGGAGGCTGTAAGATATACCTACAAAAACAGTTGTTGCTTCTCTCCTGTGTAGCTTGGGAAAAAGCTCTAAAGGCTGCACCCTGAAGGTCCCCTAGGTTCTAGGGCTATCTTAGCGGTGGAGTGGTTGCTGAATGGGGAAGACACAGTTAACTGCAACCACCTCCAATGAGACAGGATATTTGTGTATTCAACCATAATAATCAAATAAATGGCAGAGCAAGAGTTCTTTCACCATGCTGGGTTGTGAGTCCACTTTCCTGCATTTCTGCTTAGAAAGTTCCTCCCTGACTTACCGTGTTACAAGTTTCTTAGGTGGTCCATTAGTTTCAGCACAGACAAGGCACATGTAGTGATCCATCAGGGCTAGCTGCACCAGAGGCCAGGGCCAGATGCCAGGAAGCACCGAGTCCAACCCGAGCATCTCCTGCTACCTGGCTCTTATCATCCCCACCAGTCTGGGTATATCAAGTGCCAGGTCCAGTGCCACAGGCCTCCTTTGCAGGAGGACGCTAAGGCTCCCCAGGGAGGCAGGGCTAGGAAGGCCGGGTCTTGCTGGCGGGCGCCTAGACAGCCTCCTTGGCTCAGGCCGGCCGAGCCCAGGCGCAGACACGGCGGCTCCGCCAGGCCCATTAATAACCTTCAGGGCGCTGAGATTCGACAGCGCGGTCGCCGCACGCCTCGCTTCCCTGGGACGCCAGGCCCCTTTCCCGCCCCCTAGTTCCAGTCGCGTGATGGACACTGGGTGCTCCGGAGCAGCAGGCTTGAGGGGTAGGGAATCTCCCTGAGAGCCAATGGCTTTGGGGCAAGTCAAGGACAGGTTCAGCAACAGCTTCACATAGTTGAGCTAATCTCATTTAGCTCGAGATCAGTCGTCGCGCTGTTGGTACAGGCTCTATTGAACCATTACCCGGATCGTTAAAGACCCAATATCCTGATCCTTTAACTTGCTATTCAGTTTGCCCCGGGGAAGAGGTGTGCAGAGGCTCACCCGACTCTCCAGAACATACCTCCAGTCCCTGCTTGTCCCGGAAAATGACTGAAGTTCCTGGAATGGGCGCTGGCCGGACGGCCAGAGGCCGGGTCATAGCCCCCACCATGGTCAGTCAAGGGCTGAGGCTGCGGCTCGCCCTCCGAAGGGTCGCAGGCGGGCTTGGCCCTACTTTTAGCATAGGGCTTGGGAGGAAGCTGCGGAGTTAGTGGTGTACAGCCAGGGTGATTAAAAATCATCTCTGGCCTTCTTCCATCCCCTCTTCGATAGCCCAAGAAGAGAACCAAACACCAGCGTTCGAACTTCTAGAATAACAGACTAGAGATAACAGGCTAGGCCAGAGACGAACTTCTTGAGGGTCCAAGTGTAAATATACTGTGACCCGCAGGACAGGAGAAGCCACCGGGTACAGGCGCCGGCCAGGGAGAAAGGCGGAGAGGCGGGGAAGCTGGGTAGAGGAGAAGTCACCCTCGGCAGGTGCGGTGCAAGGAGCAACCACGCTATCCACGCTGGCTCTGAAGGTTTTGGGGTTCCCCAGGCTCCCTGCTCTGTAGCGGGCAGATTTGAGAGATGAGAATTCCCAGGGAGCGGCTCGAATTCCTCTTTCCTACTTCCAGTGGCCTTGGTGCAGCTAAGGTGTCACCCCCCCAACAGGTGGCTTACCCTGGCTGGCAGAGAAGCTGCTGTTTGGGGGGTATACCCGAGGATGCCCGCCCCCCAGAGGTCGGGCTAACGCTCTCCTTCCCTCCTTCCCGCGTGTCTCCCACAGGTTGCGACATGTGCGCGGACAACCGCAACGGCGAGTGCCCTATGCACGGGCCGCTGCACTCGCTGCGCCGGCTCGTGGGTACCAGCAGCGCCGCAGCCGCAGCTCCCCCGCCCGAGCTGCCCGAGTGGCTGAGGGACCTGCCGCGGGAGGTGTGCTTGTGCACCAGCACTGTGCCCGGCCTGGCATACGGCATCTGTGCGGCGCAGAGGATCCAGCAGGGCACCTGGATCGGGCCTTTCCAAGGCGTGCTCCTGCCCCCAGAGAAGGTGCAGGCTGGCGCAGTGAGGAACACGCAGCACCTGTGGGAGGTAAGCGGTCCCCTGCAGAACACCTTGCCCAGCAGACTGGGCACCCCCACCCCACCCCTAAACAAAGCCTGGCCCTTGGTAGGTAGAAGTTCCCTCTCCTTACACCAAGGTGGTGGAGAATAGGTTCCCCTGTTCTGCAGATGGCTGGCATCTCCCGCAGTAGGATTCTGGCAGAGTGTGGGTTGCCAGTATCAGCCCAGTCAGAAACCCAGAACCTGCTGATTTCTGGAGGTAGAGTCACCTTAATTTGCCCCCCCCCACCTGGGAAGGATTAGCCCCTTGATCTCTCCATCCTGGGGAAAAGATGGAGCAGAGGAGGCAGAAAATTCGAATGAAAGCTAGTGGACTTTATGTCTCATTCCTAGCTCTTCCCATGGATTTCTGGAGCAGAAGGACCAGAAGCTGAAAGAGTCAGGCAATTTTCTCCTACAAAAACAACCTTGTAGGGATAGGGTAGAGTGCTTGCCTAGCTTGCAGGAAGCCCCAAGTTTGGTCTCCAGCATTACATAAACAGGGAGTGGTGGTGACCTCTGTAATCCCAGCATTGGAGAGATGGACACAGGACAAGCAGAAATTCAAGGCCATTCAGGACTACATAGCGAGTTGGAGGCCAGTTCCCCGACCTCTTAAAACAAACAAAATTTTGTAAATGCTAAATATGAGAGACCAAAATATGTTTTTGAACTTCCAGAGCATTCAAGCCCCTTTATGAATTGTACTGTGAATCAAAAATAACAAAGTTCACTTCTTTTCTGACAAAGTAAAAGACAGTTTTCAACAAAGTAGATAATCAAAACATGGGAAAACTGAGCCTCTTCCTATAACTTAATCCCTCCTGGTATTATTTAAAAATAACTTCTCAAAAAAAACTTCTCTGAATAATCTTAACCTGAGACTCCTCCCAGGCTTTGTGGTTGATTAGTGAGGTCCACTCCCACTCCACACATGGAGAGCTAGTTATGAAATACAAGATGCTAGAGGCCACACCCTTAAGTAACATGTAAATCAGACTGAGACCAGGTGACTAATGAAGGAGGAATCATCAGAAAAGAAAGATTCTTGAATGCCAGGAGCTAAGTTGATGTGGATTCCAGGGCTCCAATAATGGGTTATTTCAGCAACTGTGTGCTTTCTAGTCACATATGGCTCAGTGACTTATTAGCATGATCATTTTCATTGTGAGCTGCCCCATATTCACTAAATAAAATTTATGAAACTTAAAAATCCACTTACTTATTTGTTGAGCTCCCCTCTGGCCAGCTTTGTATTAGGTTCTGAGATACAGTATGTGAAAAACAGACCCCCTGCCCAGAACCCTCACATTAGTTAGTGGGGTCAGGATGCCGAGGGCTGTGCCTGTAAAGCCTCGTTTGATGGAGGAGGAGTGAGAGTATGAGCCCATAGCCCAGCAGTCCATGGGCCTCCTGCTCTACTGGTTTTGAGGAGCCCTGGGTCCAGGCTTCTTCCCATATCACTCCAAAACTTGCTGGAAAGCAGTGAAACATTTTTAGCCTTTCAGGATAGGATTCCTGAGTGTGCTGAGGGGAGGGCTGTCATATTTAAGTTACCAAATGGGGCTTTTCTTAAACAACTACAATAACAAAAACAACCAACCGAATGACAATAACAAGACCAAACAACAAAAATAAGACAAACACAAAAACAAAAGCCCCAGAAATTTAATGTCCAAAATGAAACAGGAGAAAATGGCTTGGTATATAGATGCGTGGAGCTAGAAGTTAGAGCTTTCACATAGCAAAACTGGCAAGTAGGATGTAAAGAAAGCATCTGGTTTTTGACACCTTTCCTAGTTGGTTTTTGTTTCTAACTAATTAAGTTGTAACCTCCATCATGGTTTAAAGTTTACAAGGCCAGGCCAGGCACTCTTCATGTTCCAGCGGTATTATTAAGGACTCTAATATCATATCACTAAAGGCCTTTCCTGGGGAAATCACAAGGCAGGCATGGTACAGGCTTTGCTCCATCTGCAAATGTTAAACTGAACACCATGATCCTGCCCTCTGATGGCTGTCTATTTTTAGTGTCCAGAGGACAAAGTCATAAATGTGAAAAAAAATTCCCATAGTTCATTTTTTTTTTCCTAGAAGGGCTTGAGTGATCTGGATGTAGGCAGGAGGCCCCTACACATACAGGATACAACACATATTAACACAAAACTATAAAGCCTTTCCCTTATACCCTTATTTTATGTGATGAAGCAAAAATTATGTTGTAGTAATAAAACTGATTTTTAAATTTTTTCTTGATACTTTCGTGGATTTAAAGTAAATTTTACCTGTTATTAAGGGTATGTGAATTGAATGTGCTAGAAAGATACATGGGATTCTGTTAAAATGTGTAGTTAAAAAAGACCTACTGCATGTGCGTTTGAATCTACGGGCCCCTACTCCTAGTTCAGAATGCAATCTTTTTTTTTTTGGTCTTTTTGAGACAGGGTCTCCCTGTAGTCCCAGCTGTCCTGGAACTCACTATGTAGACCAGGCTGGCCTTGAACTCACAAAGATCTGCCTGCCTCTGCTTCCCAAGTGCTGGGATTAAAGGTGTGCGGCAGTCTATTTTTTAATAATCTGTAACAACAGTTAGAATGATATACATTTTGAGAGACTGAGAAGATAACTGAAATTTCAACCATGTAAAATGTCTCCTGAGAGATCATGAAAAATGTGATTGACTGGGGAGAGGTAGTTTAGTGGCAATGTCTATTTGTACAGACAAAACACTTTTTAAAATAGGATGCAGACTTTTATTAGTAGAATTACTTTTAATTCATGGAGTATGAAGGGCTAGGACTGTAGCCGAGTTATTAGAGTACTTGCCTAGAGTATATGATACCCTGGATTTGATCATCAGCACTGTAATGAAAATAGGCATTTTGGCATAAACCTATAATCCTGCACTTGTGAGGTGGAAGAGAAGGGTCAAGCAGACAAGGTCATCCTCAGTTACATAGGGAGTTTGAGGCCAGTTTGGGCTGCTTGAGACCCTGACTCAACAAAATAAAGCAAAACATCAAAAAAACCTATGATATGAATTATGAAGTTAAAAAATTAAGTACCGTGATTTATACAACATGACTTTGAATCATATTACATTTAATAACAGAAAACTAAAAGTATTAATTTGCTCCTTAAATTTTAGTCTTTAAGTTTGAATGCTTTTGTGAAGAAGTTTTAATCATTGTTTATATTAACCACTATCAATGATTGGAATCCACTATAAACCTATATAGGAAAGACTTGGCAATAAGTTTCAAAATGACTCATGTAATAATTATTCACTTAAAATCTTATTTTAGATATCTTCTGGAATGTTAGGATAACTGAGAGCAAATGTTTTAAAAATATTTTATTTTAGTTTTTGAGAATTTCATACACAGGTTCTGTCCCTCCCAGTTCCTTCCAACTCCTCCCATACCTCCTCCTCCCTCTAAATTTCTTGTATTCTTTGACTATTATTGTTACATACGCATTTGTAATTATATATATACACACGCACACACACACATATGCACATATATCATGCACTGAGTCCATTTAGTGGTGACTAGAACAGATTTTTAAGGACGTTAAAAGCTGTTGAATCATGAACGATTTCATTTTAAAAGTCAATTGTAATCATTTTTTGTGTTTTCCAAGTCATTTACTAATGAAGGAACGCCTTTATATTTAGAGCTCAATACACAGGTCCTGATAGATCTTAGCAGAGTTACTTATCTTTATTTTAGTACAATAAATGGATTGCTAATCTTTTCCTGTTACTGTTTCCAAGTAGATGATGGATTTTTGTTTCCGTTTACAGTTCATTGTTTTCAGTAGGGTTGTACTTCAGTCCTTTATTATACACATGAAGGATTATTACAGAAACAAGCAGATCCACGTTAGTCACTGCTTTTGATTATTCATCAAAAGCTTCATTTTCTTTGTAGAATAGTTTTAAAATACTTCATGTGTTTATGAGAAAATCTGAGAGTTTTTCTTTTTGTCATTTCTTTTTTCCCCCAGTAATGGTCTAAGGTAATTTTTTTCTAGTTTAAAGGGATTAGCAAAGTAAACACCAAATTGGTCATTTTTTTGTGGGGTGTGTGTGGGGCAATTTCCTTTAGAATTAAAATTTTAATGTATTTAAAGAGCACTAAATTCAGATACTTGAAAACAAAAGCCTTACAGGGCACATTAAGCAACCCTCTGGTTATATACATTTTTTCTATCAAGACTTAGATACAGGCAACATTTCTATTTGGATGAACTGGGAAAAGAATTCTTTCTGACTGTTCTGCAAAGAAAACAGACTCTTTCTCAGCAATTATGTCTTATTGATGAGAGTGAGATAATTTTATCCTAATGTGCTTTCTAATAAAGAAATGAAAAGGCACATTTGATTCCAACATTTATGAAAACATTATCTTAGTTATTAATGTGCTCTTTTTCCCTTGAGATAAATTAATCTACTTGTATATGGTTTCCTATTTCTGCTTAACATCAGAATTTAATATGACTAGACTGAGGAATGTATACAGTGTATACTTAACATTCTACTGGAGTAAAATACAGAAGTTTAAAATAAATGTACAATTTAAGATAGGGTAGAATTATGCTTTTCAAATCAAAGTTTGATTTGACAAGAAATTTTAACTACAATGACAAAATAAGTTGTGCTTTAAAAAAATATTTTATTATTTTTATTTTATGTATATGAGTGTAATGCCTGCATGTAGGTAGGTGTACCAGTGTTGTTCAATACCCGAGGAGTTCAGAAGAGGGCATCGGATCCCCTGGAACTGAAGTTAAAGACAGTTGTTAGCTGACATGTGGGTGCTGGGAATTGAACCCAGGTCCTCTGCAAGAGCAGTCAGTGCTCTTAACCACTGAGCCACCTCTCCAGCCCCTTGTGCTTATTTTCAACCCAAAATGTTTTTCTGCTAATTGAGATAATGTAGTGACTTGTTAGGATTACAGTCAAGGTACTAGAAAGGGGTTTAA